GAACAACAACAACACACAACAAAAATACCACTTATATAAGGTAAACAATAATAGAATTCAACAAACAGTTATATAAACATGTTGTACTGTTCAATTTCACAGTGATGTCAAACAATATTGTGTAAATTTTGGTACAGTCGTATCTTCTTATGTTGAGCAGCTTATAGATCAGCCGTCCACGACCGGTTTCGGCCTACTTCAGGCCTTCTTCTGGTGGAAAAGTTATACACTTGAGAATTTGTTCTCCTCAGGAGATACAGATTTTTGGCACATGATACTCTGCTCTATGTTGAGTTCTCGCAGCCAGAACTCAACATAGAGCAGAGTATCATATACCACTGAGCCAAAATTTACACAATATTGTTTGACATCACTGTGAAATTGAACAGTACAACATGTTTATATAACTGTTTGTTGAATTCTATTATTGTTTACCTTATATAAGTGGTATTTTTGTTGTATGCACTTCATTCAGGAACCCATTTATATTACATTGCCTTTATTACTTTCCACCAAAGCTGTACCTATTGATCTTTTCACATTTGCATGTTTTTGAACTGCTAGGTTGGCAGGAGCTAGGGCTGACAGCGGGAGCTCACCCCGTCCCATGGATTCGAACTGTCAGTCTTTAGGTCAGAAGATTCAACAGTTCAACGGTTTAACCCATCGCATCACCACGGCCCCCGAGAAGCCGTTCCCTGACTGGGGTGTTGTGTGGTTTCCGGGCTGCATGGCCATGTTCTAGCCTGTGGGTGCAGGTGAAACGTCAGGAGAAAATGCTGCTAGGACATGGCCATACAGCCCCCAAAACACACCACAACTATCATATGGTCTGCAGTTGATGGTGGTTGGTGATGGAAGGGTTAATGTGAGTATTAGTTCTAGAGGGTTTGGTGATCTGTAAGTGGGAGTTCATGGGTGAAAGCAATTAGGGGTGGAGGTGTGCAGGAGATGGGTTGCAGCTGGGTGTTACTGGATTTAAGGAGCTAACCTTGGGACTGATCTTTGGGAGAAAAGTATCTGTTGTATTTTGGTGGTGGATGCTGCTGGTTTTCCCCCCAGGTCTGTTGGATTTTTCGGTATCCTGACCTGTCTCCTGTAATCTTGGGATCCTGGATCCTTGAGCCTTTGGACTGGCTTTTGACTGCGTTATAGACTCTTGATCCCTGGATTTTGTTTATTGAACTCTCGGCATTTGACCACTGGACTGGACCCTTTTGACTACGAAGTTATTTTTGCTATCAGTTTTTGTTTATTCCGTAGCTGTGTGCTATCTTTGTGTTTTATATTTTGGACTATAAAAACAGCCAGCAAGTAAGTGCTGTTTTAATTAAACTGTTTGATAAAACTGGGAGTTTGATTCATCTCTACCTAAATAAGGCAGAGCCCTAGCAACGTGACAACAACACCCAGTGACTCTGGTCATGAAAGCCTTTGACAATCCGGTTTCCTTGGCCCTCCCTCCAGGTGTTTGGACTCCAACTCCCAGAATTCCTAACAGCCTCAGGCCCTTTCCTTTTCCCCCTCAGCCGCTTAAGCGGAAAAGGAAGGGGCCTGAGGCTGTTAGGAATTCTGGGAGTTGGAGTCCAAACACCTGGAGGGAGGGCCAAAGTGTGCCTGCACCTGGACTAGATGCTCTTAAGATCCATCCATCATGGGAGGGATTGCCTCTGTTTCAACGTCTTTGTTCTATCTCTTCATGATCCACTTGTTTAAACGTTAACAGATCACCTTGTTTGAACAGGAGCCAGAAACAGGTGCTAGTACACCTGCAGGTGAGTTGGCTCTGTTTTGGTTGGCAAATTTTGTTTTCCAAAAGTGGTTGCTTGAGCAAATCAGGGCAGCTGACTCCTTGAACATTGTGTTTCCAGGACTCCAATCTGCCACCTTCTGGGTATGGCACACTACAAATCCCATCAGGTTTGGGTCCGCCCCTCCCTCCTGCTGACCCCAACCCTTTGGCACTCTACTCCCGGCCTCTCACCGTGATGCCCGCAGGCCTTTTGGCACTCTGCAAGCGTCTTGAAGTTGTTCTTGTTCCCTTGGCACCCGCCGTAGACGAAAGCCTCGCATTTCTTGGTGGCCCAGTTGAAGAACCAGCGGCGGTGAAGAGCCATGCAGTTCCCTTCCACTTTGGGCAGGCGGCAGATATCTGCGGGGAACAACAACAACTTTGGTTAGACCACTTTACCTGGAATATTGTGTCCAATTCTGGCAGCACAATTCAAGAGAGATATTGACTCTAAGCTGGAATGTGTCCAGAGGAAGAGGGAGACTAAAATGATCAAGGGTCTGGAGAACAAGCCCTATGAGGAGCGGCTTAAGGAGCTGGGCATGTTTAGCCTGAAGAAGAGAAGGCTGAGAGGAGACATGATAGCCATGTATAAATATGTGAGAGGAAGCCACAGGGAGGAGGGAGCAAGCTTGTTTTCTGCTTCCCTGGAGACTAGGACGCAATGGGACAATGGCTTCAAACTACAAGAGAGGAGATTCCATCTGAACATGAGGAAGAACTTCCTGACTGCGAGAGCCGTTCAGCAGTGAAACTCTCTGCCCCGGAGTGTGGTGGAGGCTCCTTCTTTGGAAGCTTTTAAACAGAGGCTGGATGGCCATCTGTCAGGGGTGATTTGAATGCAATATTCCTGCTTCTTGGCAGAATGGGGTTGGACTGGATGATGGCCCAGGAGGTCTCTTCCAACTCTATGATTCTAGGATTCTATAACAATATTATTTATATTCCACTCTATCTGCCTGAGGGGATGCAGAGCAGATTACAGAATACGCATATGGCAAATATTAAATGCCATTATACAATTAATTAACAACAAAGACGGACAGTACGTAGACAGAGGCAAGGCTTCCCTCTTTTTCATCTCTAGCATTTATTTATTTGCAGTATTTATATTCCGCCCTTCTCACCCCAAATGGGACTCAGGACGGATCACAATGCTCAAAGTATACACTGCAAACATTCAGTGCCACTTTCTAGACATACAAGACAGACAGAAAGAGGTATTTCGGCATTTTCCAACTTTGGCGCCTTGAGGTTATGCTCGATTTTGGCCACAAGAGGCGCTGTGGCTCCATCCTCTATGACAACGAGCCCTTTTTGATCGTAGAATTTCCCTCCTTGTTCTTTGATCGCCAGCGTTTTTATGGTGTCCTAAAATACCTCCCCACTCAAGCTTGTCTACTCACAGCTCAGCTGTTTTTGAACTGCTTATGTGGACAGTGAGCTTAGCCTAACGGTCAGGTGCTCAATCTGACTCAGGCTTCGAATTGGCCACCTTCTGGTCGGCAATGATGGATTGCTGCTGGCCATTAACCAGCTATGCTACACCACGTCACCTGGGGGCTGTGCTTGGCTCGGCCATGAGGAGGTGCTGCTGTTCCATTTCTCCATATTGAGGAGCCTGTTGTCCTGTGGACCCCTTCTTGATCAAATTGCTGGCATGTTTTTCAGGGCTGCCTTTTACCTCCCCGCCAAAGCGGTACCTATTTATCTACTCACATTGCTGTTTTCGAACTGCTAGGTGGGCAGAAGCTAGGGCTGACAGTTGGCGCTCACCCCAACCTGCAGCTTGAACTGCCGTCCTTCCGGTCAGCAAGATTTTCTGTAGTTGGCGGTTTAACAGGTGTGAAAAGGGGGGAGGCCAGGGGATGAGACCATGTAGGAACCCATCGTCCCCCAGGCTGGCCTCGGGGGGCGGGGGGGGGGGGGGATATGCTGGAAAGGGTTGATTGTACGTCACTTTCTGCCCTAAACTTGGTGAGGGGATTTCATGCAGCTCTGTTCTTTGAAGGAGGGATTTCCCAGTGCAAACACATAACTAGGTAGGGAAGTGAAGTGAAGTGGGGAATCCCATGACTTGAGTGCCCTCCTCAAAGGTTGTGCCACCAGAGTGCTTGGAGGGTTGCCCTTCCGGTCATGCCTTCCTTACCATCGGGAAATTGGGACACACCTTTGGATGGTATCACACCCTTGAAGGAGCACCACTGAGGGTGCATCTACACCAGGCCTGGGCCAACTTTGGCCCTCCCTCCCTCCCTCCCTCCCTCCCTCCCTCCCTCCAGGTGTTTTGGACTTCAGCTCCCACAATTCCTAACATCTGTTTGAAGTCCAAAACACCTGGAGGGAGGGAGGGAGGGCCAAAGTTGGCTCAGGCCTGGTCTACACTGTAGAATTAATGCACTTGGGTCCCACTTAACTGCCAAGGCTCAACACTACAATACAATTGTGGGAGTTGTAGTTTGGTGAGGCACCAGCATTCTGTGGCGGAGAAGGCTAAAGGCCTTCCCTTGATTTCATAGCAACGAGGCATGAACTCAGTGGGCCAAGCGGCATTCGTTCCCCAGTGTAGATAGAGACACCCTACAAAGAGGCAGCGCCATTGATCGGAAGCATTGCTCCCCCCATTTGCCATGCTTACCTTTCCTCTCGGCTGTGGCGGAGGGCAGCTCGGTCCAAATGGCGAAGAGAGCCACCAGGAAGAGGAGGACTGTGCTGCTGGCCTTCATGGTGCCTTCTGCCTGCTTCCAGGGGATGCTGGGTGCTGGTGCTCCCTTGGGTCCAGGATTTAAAGCCTGCCGGAGTGAGGCTGGGCGCAGCCCACCATTGAGCAAGAACGCTCTGCAATTTCCCTGTTGGCTTGATCCATCCAGAGGATGAGCCGGAACTCGCTTGGCGGCTTTTGCCCAACCGTGACGCCTGCCCGGTTGCCCTTCCGCGCTTCCTGCATTGCACACTTTGTGAAGCCCCGTGCGCCCGGCTCCTGGCTCTATTGCAAGACCTCTCCTGGAAGGCATGCTTCTGTCCCAACCCAAACAGAGGTCAAGTTGGGGTGTTGGGTGGTTTCCGGGCAGTATGGCTGTGTTCTAGCAGCATTTTTTCCTGATGTTTCACCTGCATCACAAGAAAGTGCTGCTAAGATGGCCATACTGCCCAGAAACCACCCAGCAACACCCCAGTGATTCTGGCCGTGAAAGCCTTTGACAATAGAGAGGTCAAGTTCTCATAAAGGGGGAGCAGTGCAAGTGGGGGCCACAGCCCAGCAAGGCCAAAGCAGTGGATGATGGGTGCCTCACCCAGATAACATGGGGACCCATGATCCCTCACTACCGGCCCTGCTGGCTGGGGCTGATGGAGGCTGTAGTCCAGGAATGCCATGGTTGCTCCTCTGGGAGAACGCTCTTGCACCCAGGCCACCCGTTGCCATCCTGGGGGCAAGAGCGGCTGCCCCAGGGCACACAGTGTTGCTCAGTGAAGCTTCCGTTAGAGGAAAGCAGAGGGGTGAACCGTGTGGTCCCCAGATGTTGCCAATATAACTCCCCCCATCCTCATTCAGCATTAGCTCAGCCAATGAGGGCCACTGGGAGCTGTAGTTCAGCAACATCTGGAGGGCCACACTTCCTTGATCCCAGTGCTTGTTTGCCCCAAGGTGTTAGAGGGTACGGTGTTCAGGATCTTCATCAATGACTTAGATGAAGGGCTAGAAGGCAGGATCATCAAGTTTGCAGACGACACCAAATTGGGAGGGATAGCCAATACTCCAGAGGACAGGAGCAGGATTCAAAACGATCTTGACAGATTAGAGAGATGGGCCAAAACTAACAAAATGAAGTTCAACAGTGACAAATGCAAGATACTCCACTTTGGCAGGAAAAAAGAAATGCAAAGATACAGAATGGGGGATGCCTGGCTCGAGAGCAGTAATGTGAAAAGATCTTGGAGTCCTCGTGGACAACAAGTTAAACATGAGCCAACAATGTGATGTGGCGGCAAAAAAAGCCAATGGGATTTTGGCCTGCATCAAGAGGAGCCTAGTGTCTAGATCTAGGGAAGTCATGCTCCCCATGCTCTATTCCGCTTTGGTTAGACCACTACCTGGAATATTGTGTCCAATTCTGGGCACCACAATTCAAGAGAGATATTGACAAGCTGGAATGTGTCCAGAGGAGGGCGACTCAAAATGATCAAGGGTCTGGAGAACAAGCCCTATGAGGAGCGGCTTAAGGAGCTGGGCATGTTTAGCCTGAAGAGGAGAAGGCTGAGAGGAGATATGATAGCCATGTATAAATATGTGAGAGGAAGCCACAGGGAGGAGGGAGCAAGCTTGTTTTCTGCTTCCTGGAGACTAGGACGCAATGGAACAATGGCTTCAAACTACAAGAGAGGAGATTCCATCTGAACATGAGGAAGAACTTCCTGACTGTGAGAGCCGTTCAGCAGTGGAACTCTCTGCCCCGGAAGGAGTGTGGTGGAGGCTCCTTCTTTGGAGCTTTGAAACAGAGGCTGGATGGCCATCTGTCAGGGGTGATTTGAATGCAATATTCCTGCTTCTTGGCAGAATGGGGTTGGACTGGATGGCCCATGAGGTCTCTTCCAACTCTTTGATTCTATGATTCTATGACGAAGCAGAGGGTTGAACCGTGTGGTCCCCAGATGTTGCCGATACAACTCCCTCCATCCTCATTCAGCGTTCGCTCAGCCAAAGAGGTCCACTGGGAGCTGTAGTCTAGCAACATCTGGAGGGCTGCACTTCCTTGATCCCAGTGCTTGTTTGTCCCAAGGTGTTGGGGGGTACGGTGGACTACAGCTCTTTTCTCCAGGAAAGTCACCCCTTGACCTGGTCTGTGGCACTGATGGCGGTTGGGAAGTGGTGGCCTTGGTGGAGAAGGCCTTTCCAAAGGCTGCTCCTTTGGGCTTCTTCCAGGCCCACGTTGGGTGCCAGCTGCCAAGGGAGAGGGCGAGCTCTCTTCCCGGCACTGAGCTTCCTCTTGGGTGGCCATCATTATTCCCCTGAGGGGAAAGTCCTCGGCCAAGTTTCCCCCGAGAGTATCCTGAGTAAGTGTTCCTGTTCCTTGAAACACTCGACTGAAAGACAGGTCAATCCACTGCGCTCGAGGCCCCTCCCCCTCCCTCCCTCATTCCTTCTTTCCTTCCTTCCTTCTTCCTTCCTTCTTCCTTCTTTCCTTCTTTCCTTCCTTCCTTCCTTCCAGTAAGTGCTGCAGGCTATGGTTGCTCCACCGATGGCATGATGCACTTTCCCTGGTGAATGGCTGGCTCTGCCCTATTGACATCATAGGAAGGGACTCTGAAGCAGGTCCAGGGTGTGAGCGATTGCAGTTCTGTGGGGAAAGAGGCTGCTTGTCAAGTTCCTGGCTGTGAAATATGCATGCCTGACCGGTGAGACGGGAGGAATCATTGGGTCACAGAGTTGGAGGAGATCACAATGGCCCCCCAGTCTGCCAGGCAGGAAAATCAAAGCCCTCAGAAGCCTGCCCTGGACTCCAAGGCAGAGAGTTCCAATGCTGGACAGCTCTTCTTAAGGTCAGGAAGGTCTTCCTCATGTTCGGGTGGAATCTCCTTTCTTGTCCTTTGAAGCCATGGCTCCATTGCCCCCCCCCCGTCTCCAGGGCAGCAGAAAGGAAGCCCCCTCCCTCTGTCTTACAAATTATGAAACACGGCTCTCATGTTTCCTCTCAGCCTTCTCTTCTAAGCTACACTTGGGCATAAACATTGAAATGCATAGATATAGGGCAGCGGGGGGGGGGGGGGGGGGGGGGGGGGGGGGGGGGTGACCTGACTTGAAAATGGCATCCTTACACAGGGATCCATGTGTCTGAGGCAACCACCAGCTGAGCATGAGTTCACAGTGTTGACGTGGCAGCTAAAAAGGCCCATGTGATAGCCAGTGCTAGGCTGCATCAGCAAGAGGAATACATCAAAGGACGTCCCATGCTATTCTGCTTTGGCCAGACCTCACCAGGGATAATCAGCCTGTGTCCACTTCTGGGCCAAGCCATCTAAGAAAGGGATGGGCAAAATGGAAGGTGTCCAGGGACTGGTGACCAGAACGGCCAAAGGTCTGGAAGCCAAGCCCTATGAGGATGGCTTGGAGACATGAAGGTCAGGAGAGCCGTGTTTACATATCTGAAAGGATGATCCATTGAGGCAGCAAGAAGCTTGTTTTCTGCCAGTCTAGAGACTAGGACACAACGGAGCCATGGGTTCAAGCTACAGAAGGAGAACCTCTCAAGGAGTACGGCTCTCTGATAGAGGAGTATGTTTCAGCCTGGGAGTCCAATGGAGTCTCCTTCTCTGGAGGCTGGGTGGCCATCTGTCGGGAGGGCTTGGATTGTGTTGTCCTGCATGGCAGAAGATTGGACCGAATGGCACGTGGGATCTCTCCTGTAGTTCTATACCAGCAAGACAGGTATCTCTGCCTTCATTGGAGGCTCCTAAGACAGCCCTGCTCTGCCCAAGAAGCAAGAGGGCCCAAGAGGGATCTCCAGTCCAGCAGAACACCAGCCAGGAGACAAGGCGAAGTTGGGCTGGTTTCATCCACAAGGCCCATCTTTGGAGTCTGGAAGATTCACTCTATGACCTTGCATTATTTATGGGCAATACTATTCTCTTTCGCTGCTGATGAAGATTCATTGGAATGGCCCCATGTATTTATTACAGCCTGGCCAACTCTTGCTTGCTTTTTGCCAATGACACAAGGCTTGTGGGTGGCAGGCACTTGGCCCTCCTTCCTGAGTCCAGACATAGGGTGGATTGCAGCCTGACTCCTTTGTCCATCACGGACCACTGTATTCTAGGTTTAATCAACAGCTTATTATGGACCTGCCCTTGCTGTCTCCCACATGAGACGAAGCTGAATGCCATTGCCCAGAGGCTGCTCTGTGCTCTTCGGGTTAAGTTGTGCTCCTTACATGCACACCACCTGGAGCACGTGGTATTCTTCTGCTTTGTTGTATTGTTGTCGTTCATTCATTCAGTCGTCTCCAACTCTTCGTGACCTCATGGACCAGCCCACGCCAGAGCTCCCTGTCAGCCGTCACCACCCCCAGCTCCTTCAAGGTCAGTCCAGTCACTTCAAGGATGCCATCCATCCATCTTGCCCTTGGTCGGCCCCTCTTCCTTTTGCCTTCCACTTTCCCCAGCATCATTCCCTTCTCTAGGCTTTGCTGTCTCCTCATGATGTGGCCAAAGGACTTCAACTTTGCCTCTAGTCTCCTTCCCTCCAGTGAGCAGCCGGGCTTTATTTCCTGGAGGATGGACTGGTTGGATCTTCTCGCAGTCCAAGGCACTCTCAGCACTTTCCTCCAACACCACAGCTCAAAAGCCTCTCTTCCTTCGCTCAGCCTTCCCTAAGGTCCAGCTCTCACATCCGTAGGTGACTACAGGGAAGACCATGGCTTGGACTAGGCAATGGATCTTGGTTGCCAGTCTGATGTCTCTACTCTTGACTATTTTATCGAGACTGGACATTGCTCTCCTCCCAAGAAGGAAGCGTCTCCTGATTTCCTGGCCACAGTCTGCATCTGCACTCATCTTTGCGCCTAGAAATACAAACCCTGTCACGGCCTCCACGTTTTCTCCCTCTATTTTCCAGTTTGTTTTATTATGAGGTTTGATTGTGGTTTTATTGCAGGTTGGACATCTCTCATTCAGAAATCCAAAGCGGTCCACCTGGGAGGCTGAGGGCCCGTCCAGGAAGCACCTTCATGCCAGGAGATCCCGCAGCAATCAGGAGGCTGGCCAGGGGCCCTTCCTTGTAGACCCGTAAGTAATTGCTACAAAAGTCAAAAAATGTGAGATTTCCAGGTGTGGGAATATCGCGGTTTTTAACAAAATATACGGATCTTCGCATGTCAGGACATCCCTACAATCAGAAATCACGAGATTGTTTATCTGGATTTGTTCCCAGGTTTTAGATGCTTGTTCCTGATTGGTCAGTTCCTAAAAAGAGGGTGTGGTTTGCGTGGAAGGCCAAAACTTTGTCATGGGAAGAGGAACTTCATACATCACTTGTTTAATGAAGTTTGTGGCAGAACAATGAAGTTCCTGGGATGCAACAAGTACTTTCACAGTAAATATTACACCATGAAACAGGAACAGACACTTTCAAACCAGGAACAGAATGCCATCATTCCTACAATTACTCAAATCTTGTTGTGTGGCCATCTGTGCAGACAGGTCTCATGGTGTGCTTGTGCCAGGAAACAACAGGATGATGTTTCCAGGTTATACATGTTGGTTCCTCATTGAGTGTTTGCTGATAGAACACGTGTACAGTTTATGGCAAAATCTTCCTACTGGCTGTGGGGACATTGATGTGCTGGTTAGGAATGTCCATACTGAGAGCCAAGGTCTTGCAGGTGGCGAATAGGCAAAGCCATGTGTAACCCAGGAACAGCTCCGTGTTGTTTGATGCCACAAGTACACAACCAAATCTGTCTGGACAGATGGCCAGGCAGCCTGTAAAAAGTGACAATCATGACAAAGTTCTGTTCCTAGCTTGAAAGTGTGCCTGTTTCATTGTGTAGTGCTGACTTGCATAGAAGGAGTCTTACTCCGAAAACTTTGTTTGTGTGCCAGAAACTTTATGAAAGATGTGGAGGACACGTTTTTTTTGGTCTGCTCATAAATTGGAACTTTTGCGGAGATGTAGATATGCGGGTATCCGCATATCCGCTAATAAGGAAAGCCAAATCAAACCCAGAAACAGGATCCTGTTGTTGGACCTGTCTGGACAGATGGCCAGGCAGCCAGGTTCTAAAAAAAGTAGATAATGGCAATGTTCTGTTCCTGACTTTAAAATGTGTGTACCTGTTTGTGTACTGCTGACTTGGGCAGTAGTGGTTCTATCCCATGAGGTTTGTTTGTTTGGTAGATAGCTCATGAAATGTCTGGAGGGAACAGTTTTTCTGGCCAGGACAAAGAATGAAACTTTTCCGGCTATCCGCATATCCACATCTTCGCATGTCCGCATCTCATGTGCGTTTGGGGGGGGGGGGGCTAGGGCATTACAAAAACCTGCTGGTTTCTAGTGGAAGTTCTCTGACAGCAATCTTGGGAGCCTCTAAATCAGTGTTTCTCAACCTTCCTAATGCCGTGACCCCTTAATACAGTTCCTCATGTTGTGGTGACCCTGCAACCATAACATTATTTTCATTGCCACATCATAATTGTAACTTTGCTACTGTTATGAATCGTCATGCAAATATCTGATATGCAGGATGGATTTTCATTCACTGGACGCCCAAATTTGAATATTTGGGGGGGGGGGCTAATTGATTTTGTCATTTGGGAGTTGTAGTTGCTGGGATTTCTAGTTCACCTACAATCAAAGAGCATTCTGAATGCTACCAATGATGGAATTGAACCAAACTTGGCACACAGAAGAGAAAATACTGGAAAGGTTTGGTGGACAATGACCTTGAGTTTGAGAGTTGTCGTTCACCTCGATCCAGAGAGCACTGTGGACTCAAACAATGATAGATCTGGACCAAACTTGGCACGGATACTCAATATGCCCAAATGGAACACGGGTGTAGTTTGGGGAAAACAGACCTTGACATTTGGGAGTTGTAGTTCTTGGGATTTATAGTTCACCTACAGTCAAGCATTCTGAATCCCACCACCGATAGAATTGGGTCAAACATCCCACACAGAACCCCCATGACTAATAGATAATACTATATTTTCTGATGACCCCTCTGATACTCCCTGGTGACCCCCTCAGGGGTTCCGACCCCCAGGTTGAGAAACACTGCTCTAAATCTTGGAACAAAGCATGAAGTCTGGACAATGGAGACAGGAATCCCGGGACCAACAGGTCTGTATGTGGACCTCTCCTGAAGTCCCGGGACTTTTTGCCCCTCACTAAAACTTGAGATGTAGTTCTGCCTGGAAGCGCCCTGAGATGGTGGCGTCTTTGGTTTCCGATGGTTCAATGCGTCCACATGTCATTTCATGCACAAATTTATTTAGAAGGTTGTGTAGAACGCTGCCTTGAGGTGTGAATGAAAGAAATGAATTTTGTGTTTAGACTTGGGTTCCATCTTCGAGAGACATGCAAATGCAAATACAGGTATTCCAAAATTGGAAAAAAATCCCAAAGAGTTCTGGCACCCTGCACGTGGATAAGGGATCCCCCACCTTTTTACATGGCCGGTTATCAGTCCCGTCCAACTGACTTTTTTCATTGGTGAGACTGTGTTCTGTGTATTTGTCTTAATATGACTTGTGATCATATTGACTTATGTGTATACATTATATTGTTTGGAGTGAGTACGCTCCAGTTGTCATATTGAAGGAGGAGAAGGGTTCGGAGACTGAGCAATATGGCATCCTTCTAACCACAGTTCAACAGTTTTGAAGCAACGTTCCTGTAACACCAACTGTTTCTGAAACACCATTGCATTCTGCAACAGGTAGTCTTTTTTTACAATACAGAAACCATGATGCAACACTGCAAGCGCATGAATATAAAAATAAACCACACCACGGTTATGCAACTGCAATACTCCACACCTAGAGCCCAGGGCTGCTCCTCAGTGGTCTTCAGATTTGATCAGCTGATTTGTAAACCCATCAGGCAGGTAGGCCTTCCTGAGCTGCTCTGCCTTGGGGACGGAGTTCCCGTTCTTCACGTGGCGGGAGAGGAATGCTCGCACAGCAGGGTGGTCGGCCTTCTCAAGAGGAATGCTGGCCTCCAGAAACATTTTTACAAAGTCGTGGACGACGTTGGGTTTCTCTATTTGGGGCGCGCTGTTGCACTGCAGAGAGGCCGTCAGGGTCCTTGGCTTCTTCCGCACAGTTTGCTCTTCAAACTCCCCCTTGCGCTTGGTGTGAGTCTTGGATTTGAGGTGGTCGTTGATGGCAGACTTGCGGACGTGGTTCAAGACCACATTGCAGAAAGTGCAATACAGCTTCCTCCTGTCTTCATACAGTACGCTGCCAAACTCCGTGATGCGGTCCTGAGGCATCACGTACAAAGCAGTCTTGGAGCGGCTCCGAGAAGGAGGCGTCTTCACGTCAAACCGATTCATGGTTGTCTTCAGTAAGCTGTTACACTCCATCCAGGACTCCATGGGTGTGATGGGGAAAAGCTCAGGAATCCCACAGGAATCGCCTTCCATTAAAGGCACAAAGCCAGAATGGATGTCCAAAGAACTTCTAACTGTGCTAAGACACAAAAGAGACATGCACAAGAAGTGGAAAAAGGGAGAAATCACCAAAGAAGAATTCAAACAAATAGCCAACACCTGTAGGGAAAAGGTCCGCAAGGCTAAAGCACAAAACGAGCTCAGGCTTGCCAGGGACATTAAAAACAATAAAAAGGGCTTCTTTTCTTATTTCAGTAGAAAAAGGAAAAACAAGGAGGCGATAGGGCCTCTTCGAGAAGATGGGGCAATGCTGACAGGGGATAGGGAAAAGGCAGAACGACTTAATGCCTTCTTTGCCTCGGTCTTCTCACAAAAAGAAAGTCATCTTCAACCTCAGCAAGATGGAGTGGATGAGGGATTAGAGGACATCCAACCCCAAATTGGGAAACAAGTCGTCCAGGAATACCTGGCTGCTCTAAATGAGTTCAAGTCCCTCAGGGCCAGATCAACTACACCCAAGAGTACTGAAGGAACTAGCGGAAGTCATTTCGGAACCATTGGCAATCATCTTTGAGAGTTCTTGGAGAACGGGAGAAGTTCCAGCAGATTGGAGGAGGGCCAATGTGGTCCCAATCTTCAAGAAGGGAAAAAAGGATGACCCAAACAACTACCGTCCGGTCAGCCTCACGTCGATACCAGGCAAGATTCTGGAAAAGATTGTTAAGGAAGCGGTCTGCAAACACTTAGAAACAAATGCGGTCATCGCTAATAGTCAACATGGATTTATCAAAAACAAGTCATGCCAGACTAATCTGATCTCTTTTTTCGATAGCGTTACAAGCTGGGTAGATGCGGGGAATGCCGTGGATGTAGCGTACCTGGATTTCAGTAAGGCCTTCTTTGACAAGGTCCCCCATGACCTTCTGGCAAGGAAACTAGTCCAATGTGGGCTAGGCAAAACTATGGTGAGGTGGATCTGTAATTGGTTAAATGGACGAACACAGAGGGTGCTCACCAATGCTTCCTCTTCATCTTGGAAAGAAGTGACGAGCGGAGTGCCGCAGGGTTCCGTCCTGGGCCTGGTCCTGTTCAACATCTTTATTAATGACTTAGAAGAAGGGCTAGAAGGCATGATCATCAAGTTTGCAGACGACACCAAATTGGGAGGGATAGCCAATACTCCAGAGGACAGGAGCAGGATTCAAAACGATCTTGACAGATTAGAGAGATGGGCCAAAACTAACAAAATGAAGTTCAACAGTGACAAATGCAAGATACTCCACTTTGGCAGGAAAAATGAAATGCAAAGATACAGAATGGGGGATGCCTGGCTCGAGAGCAGTACGTGTGAAAAAGATCTTGGAGTCCTCGTGGACAAGTTAAACATGAGCCAGGAATGTGATGTGGCGGCAAAAAAAGCCAATGGGATTTTGGCCTGCATCAATAGGAGATCTAGGGAAGTCAGATTTGGATCTAGGGAAGTCATGCTCTCCATGCTCTATTCCACTTTGGTTAGACCACACCTGGAATATTGTGCCCAATTCTGGGCACCACAATTCAAGAGAGATATTGACAAGCTGGAATGTGTCCAGAGGAGGGCGACTAAAATGATCAAGGGTCTGGAGAACAAGCCCTATGAGGAGCGGCTTAAGGAGCTGGGCATGTTAAGCCTGAAGAAGAGAAGGCTGAGAGGAGATATGATAGCCATGTATAAATATGTGAGAGGAAGCCACAGGGAGGAAGGAGCAAGCTTGTTTTCTGCTTCCCTGGAGACTAGGACGCGGAACAATGGCTTCAAACTACAAGAAAGGAGATTCCATCTGAACATGAGGAAGAACTTCCTGACTGTGAGAGCCGTTCAGCAGTGGAACTCTCTGCCCCGGAGTGTGGTGGAGGCTCCTTCTTTGGAAGCTTTTAAACAGGGGCTGGGTGGCCATCTGTCAGGGGTGATTTGAATGCAATATTCCTGCTTCTTGGCAGGGGGTTGGACTGGATGGCCCATGAGGTCTCTTCCAACTCTTTGATTCTATGATTCTATGATCTGCATTTCTCACTGCTCTTCCAGCCAGTGCTGCGCTTTATCCCGGCCAAGGCTCCACTGCGGCCTACCTTGGCTCGACGCGCTTCCCCTCCTCAAGCCCCCCAACAGACAACAGACTCCACAGAGCCACCTTGCCAGAGAGGCGGACTGGTGCGGTCTCATATTCACTTTTGAGTCTGACTGTTTGATTTGGTTCCTCCTCCTCTTCTGTTTCCTAGTTTGCTCTCTGCATTGTACAGATGGGTGCAAAGATGCTTGAACATTAATATCATGTTTGGATAGGAAAAGCTGCAGAATAACTTTGAGACGTTCACAATGAGATCGCGATGTGAAGCCGTCATGCTGGTTCTCCTTCCTTAACAAAGCCCTTGTTGGGTGTGCACGAGAAAGACCTCTTCACTGGAGACGGGGCTGGTGGCTTCCACCCTGTGCTGCCACCCAGACAAATATCCATCCCTCCATCACCCTCTTACAAACCATCATGTTTCCCCATTGACATGCAAACAATGCTATTATGCAGCTCTGATAGGTTTTAATGTGTGGGCCTATCCCCGCAAGAGTGTGTTTGCTGCCGAACCATGTGCATCTTCCAATATCGCACATAGAGAAGTGGCGTGAGAAGACCTCTAAAGATGTCCATCTTCCCTGGAGTCCAATTAGCGAGATCCTAGGAGAGAAAAAAGGTCACCCATCAGTGACATATTCACCTTTCCTTCCGTCCACACTGAAGAATTGTCACAGTTTGGCACCACTCTAACTGGCATGGCCCAAGGCATGGGATCCCTGATTTGCAGTTTGTTATGGACCCAGAACTCTCTGCTGGAGAAGGGTAAATAAATATCTCACCAGCCTACAGATCCCTGAATTCCATAGCATTGCGCCATGGGAGCTAAAGTGGGGTTGAACTGATATAGTTCTGTAGTGTGGACACCTCCCTATGTTCCCTTCGGAAAACAGAATGTCATTCCATGATAGGAACTTGTTCCTTAGAGCAGGAAATGTGACTCATGACCCAGCTCAGGTTACAGTGTATCGTGGCTGAACTCTACAATCTAAATCAGGAGGTTCTGTGGGTTTTTTCGGGCTATAGAGCCATGTTCTAGAGGCATTTCTCCTGACGTTTCGCCTGCATCTATGGCAAGCATCCTCAGAGGTAGTGAGGTCACACTACCTCTGAGGATGCTTGCCATAGATGCAGGCGAAACGTCAGGAGAAATGCCTCTAGAACATGGCCCTATAGCCCCAAAAAACCCACAAGAACTTAACCTACCATGAACTCTACAATCTAAATCAGGAGTGTTAATTACTGCATTGATGCCAACGTTAACATTAGGCAAGCTGCAGGAACCTCTGCCTTGAAATCACGGAAAAGGTAGTTTTCTCCCAGTCAGTGCTCAGCAACTACATATCCCATGATTCTGTTGCATTCAGCCAAGGCAGTCAAAGTGGCTGGTTGTGCTTTTCCTGCATCACAGGGGTTGGACTAGATGGCCCATGTGGTCTCTTCCATCTCCGTTATTCTATGTTCCATGACACTTGCACCAAAGTATCTGGAGACAGATGTGTTGCACTTTCAGTATGCAAACTGCTTTATGTTGGAGGTTGCATCTACTCAAGTAGAATGAATGCAAATAGATGTAACCTCCAACATAAAGCAGTTTGCATACTGACAGTGCAACACATCTGGCTCCAGATACTTTGGTGCAAGCAGGAGGAGCAAAGGATGATTATGATTGTCATCCCCATCCTCCCCCTGCTTTCTCCTCTTGGTTGAGACTCAAAGTGGTTCCCTGGGATGAAAGGGCTGGGCTTGCAGTTGATGGCCAGAGCTTGCTTGTTCCTTCCTTCCTTCCTTCCTTCCTTCCTTCCTTCCTTCCTTCCTTCCTTCCTTCCTTCCTTCCTTCCTTCGGCAGCAAGGCCAAGGCCCACGGAAGCCTCCCTCAGGGTCTCCTGCTTTGGCCTCACTGACCACCCACCATCTGCACCACGGAGCTCCCAGGCCAGGCCTCCTCCTGTTGCTCCTGCTTCCAAACACAGGGGTGGACCCATGGCAAAGGGGGGGGGGTCAGCCCCATTGGGCTGCTTCTCCTCCACCATTGGGCCAAGCCCACTGAGCCACCTTCCTTCTAAACCAACCCCAGTCAGAAAGAGGTGCCTGGTGGCTCCCGTGGCAGGCGGCCTTCTTGTACCCTGTGTGACGTCCATGCAAGTGTGGCCACAGCCGTTGCTGCAGCACTTCTGCCCAGGGCCACAGATGTCGTCGCTCCCACAGTAATCCACGCAGGGCCCAGAGCCATGGATCGTGGGGCACTCGCCAGCCGCTCCTGAGGGAAGTCCTGGGAAGATGGAGAAAGGAGGGACACTTCGAACCAGGGACCAACATGCAGAGGGGGGGGGGGTCTTTCACCCACCCTGGTCTTTCACCATTCCTAATCTTTGGCTAGTTCTCTGACATCACGAGAGACAAGCATGGTTCCTCCCTCCATTCCTCCAGCTTGCCTTCCTTCCTTCCTTCTTCCCTCCCTCCTTCTCTCCCTCCCTCCCTCCCTCCCTCCCCCTCCTTCCTTGCCCCCCCCCCCCCCAGAATTAAGGGATAAGGACTTATAGTTCTGCAAAGGGCAAGGTCACCAGACTACACAACAAGGGTTAAGTCTTGGCCACATTGCCAAGGCACTGACAACAACAAGGACCCCACGAGGCTTTTTGGGAAATGGCTGGATCTTGGGACTTCTGCCCTTTTGTGAGAGTTGTAGTTCCCCAAGGGCTGAGCGATGGATTCTGTTATTGATCAACTCAGCGCCCATCTGCTGATTCCAGCCTGAATCCATGACTCTCTGCTGAGTGGACTGGACTGTTTGCCACAACCCTGGCCATGAACTTTCTATCAATGCTTGATTTGAACTGCTAGCAACCTCTGCTTCCACACGCCCTTCCTAAGAGCATGGGATTTCCAGTTTGGACCTTAATAAAGATCAAATATTGAAATAAACTTTATGGGGTGGGATGGGGGTTCCTCTTCTGCTCTAACTCTGTATCAGTGATGCCTATTGCCTATGATTTTGATATATGTATGTAACCTTATGAATTTCCTCTGTACCCTCGTCCCCTTGACCCTTGCCCCACAAAAACTGCTGTGACCAGGAACTGCCTGGGGGAGGGCTCCAGCCTCTCCCTCAATCACCCTTGATTGTTTCATTTGCATGGACCATACTGTTGTTTCCCCCCAACCCTGGCCCTCGGAGCAGACCAGCGAGGGGAGGGGGCCAACAGAAACTCGGAAACAAAGATTGATTAAATCACCCAGGTATTGTTGATCCCCCTTTGAGGTCCGATACCGAAAAAGCCTTTTCATATTTCCTCCCAAATCCCATCACAGACCAGGAAACTCATTGTTCCCCTATCTGACACCCCGCCAGTGAGGACAAAAGCCTCACATTCCAGCTGGCGGATGCCCTTAAGCTTGTCATTTCCTCAGTCTTTGTCGAGCTTGTCCCGCCTCCTAGCTGCCGATTGGTCCATCTTCAGAGGCGCTAGGAAGGCACTGATTGGCCTCCCAGAGGCGGCGGAGCTCGCTGATTGGTCCAGAGGCGAGGCGTGCCGCCAAGCCTCCTCCCAGCTGTTCCGCGGCCAGCCAATCAGCACGAAGCCAGCCGGCAGAGGGCGGGCGGGAATTTTGAAACTGTTTTCCTTTGTCTGCATGCTATAAAAATGCTTGGAAATTCTGTAAAATTATGCTTGCAGTGGAATGATTCCTGCAATGCATCTGATCTCAGCTGAATCACAAATAAACCTCGGTTGCTGATAAACTTCTTCCACTTTGATGAGGCATTATTATTTGTAATATTTTTACTCTTTGGATTGGCTCTCGCTGGCCTCACCAAGGTTCCAGGGCCCTTTTGAGCGGTCCTCAGGGATCTCCTCCGCCGGGAGACCCTACTAAAAGCAGCTCGATATCACCCTCCCCCATGGACAATCCCTTCTGGTCCCAGAGACCTTCTGCCCACATCTCACCATGATGCCCGCATGAACCTTGACACTCTTCCAGAGTCCTGAAGTTGTTTCCATTTCCTCCGCACCCTCCGTAGGTGAATTTTTCACACTTCCGACCTGCCCAGTTGTAGCACCAGCGGGGATGCACGGCGTCGCAGGGCCCGGCGTCTCTAGGCAGGGTGCAGACATCTGGGGATCGGGAGAGAAGCAGAGCGGAAGGACCCCCAGGAAGCCATGCTGGGCCTGGGCACCCCAAACCTCCAGACCAGGCCCCAAAGTGGGGTGCCATGCATGCATTGGGGGATTTAAAACAAGATTTGGAGAATGTAGGATTGGGGAAGCTCTACGTCTGTGTAGCTGAGTTTCCGCCTTTCCTTCATCCCTGGGAACGCTGACCCGCCCTCCTGCCACCCACCCCTTGCTCACCTGTATGCCCAGCTGCGGAGGGCAATTCGGCCCAGGTGGCAACCAGCCCTATCAGGGAGAAGATGGCAAGCTGGCCGGCCTTCATGGTTCTCCTGCTGCTTCGTGCAAAAGGTGCAAAGGAGCCATGGGCCCTGGTTTTCAAGCAGAAGGTGTTGTATAATCCAGCCCACAACTGACCAGTGGGGCAGCCAATGGTGTGTGTGCACGTAGGGGGTTTTCCCCATTCTGAGGTTGCAACAAGGCAACTCACCCCATAAAAACATGACATCCTCATACCTTCCATTGCACATATTCTCTGATTCCAAACCCTTTGGCCAGGAGCATCCCCTGAAGCAAGAGAGATCTGGCAGATGGAGAGATTGGCCGAGGAGAGGAAGACAAAGGTGGCCCATCTCTCCCGGTGGAAATCCACTGTGTTTGTTTTGCCCCATCGGCTCCTTTTAGAACCTGGTCCTGTCCCTCCCAACTTGGGGTCGTCTGCAAATTTGATCAGCTTGCCTTTTATTCCATCGTCCCAATCAGAAGACGCTTCCTTCTTGGGAGGAGAGCAATGTCCAGTCTCGATAATATAGTAAAGAGTAGAGACATCAGACTGGCAACCAAGATCCATTGCAGAGTCAAAGCCATGGTCTTCCCTGTAGTCACCTACGGATGTGAGAGCTGGACCTTCGGGAAGGCTGAGCGAAGGAAGAGAGAGGCTTTTGAGCTGTGGTGTTGGAGGAAAGTGCTGAGAGTGCCTTGGACTGCGAGAAGATCCAACCAGTCCATCCTCCAGGAAAGAAAGCCCGACTGCTCACTGGAGGGAAGGAGACTAGAGACCAAGATGAAGTCCTTTGGCCACATCATGAGGAGACAGGAAAGCCTGGAGAAGACAATTATGCTGGGGAAGGTGGAAGGCAAAAGGAAGAGGGGCCGACCAAGGGCAAGATGGATGGATGGCATCCTTGAAGTGACTGGACTGACCTTGAAGGAGCTGGGGGTGGTGATGGCCGACAGGGAGCTCTGGCGTGGGCTGATCCATGAGGTCACGAAGAGTCGGAAACGACTGAACGAATGAACAACAACAACCCAATAGCTGATAAAGATATTGGATTTGCACATAAAATATTGGAGCAAATTAATACAATAAAAATCTACTAAAAAAGAAAGCCATCCTGGTGGCTGTCATCTCGCCGAGTCCATTCAGCTTCTCATAATCCGTTTCCATATCTATTGTCGTCATTGTCCTTGTCCGTCTGCCAGATTACTCGAAGGCCTGGTCCCACATCCACGTTTTTAATTTCCTTCTAAAGGAGAGGAGGGATGAAGATGACCTAATTTCCCTGGGGGGTGAATTCCACAGGTGGGGGGCCACCACCGAGAAGGCCCCGTCCCTCATCCCTGCCAGTCTAATTTGTGAGGGCGGGGCCGAGAGCAGGGCCTCTCCAGAAGATCTTCAATTCCTAGGTGGGACATAGAAGGAGATACGTTCGGACTGGAACCGTTTGGGGTTTTATAGGAATCACTGGGTTGCTGTGAGTTTTCCGGGCTGCCTGGCCATGTTCCAGCAGCATTCTCTCCTGACGTTTCACCCACATCTATGGCAGGCATCCTCAGAGGTTGTGAGGAATATTTCTTCCTTTGCTTTGTTTTGATCCCACCTTTCTCTCAACATAGGGACTCAGGCTGGAAAACACAATCCAGGTGGACTTCTACACTTTGTTCAAGAACCTCCAGAGAAGGAGACTCAACCAGGCTCAACAACAGCAGTGGTTGAACATCTCAGACCATGGGGAAGACCTTCCAAATATTCCGATGGAACCTACTTTATGGGAGTTTGAATCTATTACTTGGTGTCTCCAGAATGGCAGATATCAAGCTGGTCCGCTCGTCAGTGTGACAAGCTTGCGGAGATCTTAACACAGCTCTCACGTCCTCCCTTCAGCCTTTTCTCCAGACCAAACATCCTGAGTTCCCTCAGCTGCTCCTCAGAGGGACCCATGCCTTCCAAGCCTTTGACCCTTTGTGTTGCTCTCGGCTGGGCACCTTCCGCCTTGGAGTCCACCTCCTTGGAGTGTGCCTTGCCCAGGGTCAGCCAGAGGATTGCCATGGTCAAGAGGCAACGGGAGCCATAGTCCAACGTTCCAGCCCTAAGTGGACATCTGCAGAGCTGAAAACCAGGAGTCCTATCTCAGGGAGGGATTGGTCAAGAGTGACCTTTCTCCAGCCGTTGGTCATCCATCAATTTGTTGAGCCAAAGGGCCAGGCAGGAGAGCCAGGCCTTGTGTAAACAGTTTCATCCTCCTCCTCCTGCAAGTGGCGTTGCCCAATTCTTTCGAAATGCATTCGGCAAGGTGTAACCTGAGACCAGGTTTAAGGAATGGGTGGTGTGGGCCAAGGGCAGCCCTTGGGGGCATTTACACTGCAGAACGAATGCAGTTCGGCACCACTTGAACTGCCACTGGGCTGTAGCCTTTCTAGCTCTGCAGTCTCCTCTGCCAAAGAGTGCTGCAGCCTCACCAAACTACAAATCCCAAGGTTCCTAGCAGTTGAAGTGGTGTCAAAGTGCATCAACGCTACCCTTCCATAGGGATCATTTCCATGCTAAAACGTTGCCTTTGCCAATGAAGGAGGTGCAATTGATGTGAGAAACAGCAGGCAAAATCTCAGAGAATGTGCAAATACACGAGAGTGTTTCAGGCTACAGCCTTCTCTCTCTTCCAGGCATTTACGAATCCAGCCTTCTCCCTCCTCTCTGTCCATCAGCCCTTCCACCTAATTCTGGTGATTGCTGCTGATCCTTGACCATATTGGAGATACTTGTGAATGCACAGACACGGGTCTGGATGCTAGAGCAGGGCTTCCTTCTCTCCCGTTGTCTTCATGTCCAGATAGTAGACTTTGCTTAGGTGTTTCATGCTGCTGCTATCCTTGACCATATTGGAGATACTTGTGAATGCACAGACACGGGTCTGGATGCTAGAGCAGGGCTTCCTTCTCTCCCGTTGTCTTCATGTCCAGATAGTAGACTTTGCTTAGGTGTTTCATGCTGCTGCTATTAAGGAGTTTGGCCAGATGTTGGGAACGCCCTTCATCCCTTTTGGAAACGCCATGCTACATCCCGACCAGATGCATGACTCCAGAACTCTTTTTCATAGAATCACAGAGATGGAAAAGGCCCCCAAGGGCCACCCAGGTGCAACCCAGTCTCTTCTGCCATAAAGAAGGAGACAACCCAAGCCCTTCTGACAGATGCCCATCCAACCTCTTCCTAAAACCCCCAGAGAAGGAAGGAGACTGCATGGGACTCCCGGGCAGCAGTGGATTCCTCTGCCAAACAGCCCTGACTTCAGAGGCTTCCTAATATGCAAGAGGGATCACTTTTCCTGCCATTTGAATCCATGGCGCCATTGTGTCCTGGCCTCTAGAGCAGCGGAATCCTAGAATCCTAGAGTTGGAAGATACCTGGTGGGCCATCGTCCAGTCCAACTGTTAGAGACCGGGAATTATGGTGACAATCCCAGAAGGCAAGGGAGGAAATGAGACTCCGATGAGGTTTTCCAACAAGGCTTTATTTCAAGTTGATCAACATGAGATGAATAGCCTTTGACCATCCTGGTCAAAGAACAAACGACTATTCATCCTTTTGTGGCGCACTTAACAATGGTTTTATATCAAACTTGTGAAAACAACACGTAAGCAACTTCTGATTGGTTGCTATGTTTCTAACATCACAGCATATGTATGATCCTGGTGAATGTGTGACCCTGCAATCTGCAAGTTATCCAAGGCAGAAAGAATTTGTGGGAGTAAGGGAGTATATCTGCTTGTGTCTGACCACAGGCAATTATTTTTTCCTATCAGCAGCAGCCCTTGGCAAGCAAGGTTTTCTCTCAATAGACAGAGATTCTGGGACTTGTAATAATTGGAAATTTATTTTTCTTAATCATGTTCCTATCAACCATTCTGCCAAGAAGCAGGAAAATCGCATTCAAAGCACCCTCAACAGATGGCCATTCAACCTCTGTTTGAAAGCCTCCAAAGAAGGAGCCTCCACCACACTCCAGGGCAGAGAGTTCCACTGCTGAACAGCTCTTCCTCATGTTCAGGTGAAATCTCCTTTCCTGTACTTTGAAGCCATTGCTCCATTGTGTCCTAGTCTCCAGGGCAGCAGAAAGGAAGACTGCTCCCTCCTCCCGATGACTTCCCCATACCTGTTGATCCATGGCCATCATCATGTCTCCTCTCCTCTAAACATGCCCAGCTCTTTAAGCCGCTCCTCATAGGGCTTGTTCTCCAGACCCTTGATCATTTTAGTTGCCCTCCTCTGGACACATTCCAGCTTAGAGTCAACCTCTCCCTTCAATTGCAGTGCCCAGAATTGGACACAGTGGGATTCCACGTCAAGTGGTCTGGCCAAGGCAGAATGGAAGAGAGCACGGGGAGCAGGACTTCCCTGGATCTGGGCACGATAAAACAAGGCTGCCCCCTCCTCAGTGTGACCTCCTGCCAAATAGTTCAGTGTGGCTCTCCTGTCCCTTTCTCTCAGTCTTTTTTTCTCCAAGCTAAAGATACCCAGCTCTCTAAGTTGCTCCTCAAATGGATTCACACTTTTCAGACCTTTGGCCATTTTGTTGCGGCTCAGAATGGCATTCATTGGCTGTTTGAGATGCTGCACCACACTTTTGGTTCCTGATCAGCTTGTGGTCCACTAAGACTCCTCGATCCCTTTCCCACGGACTGATTTCAAGCCAGGCGTCACCCTTCCCGTCTCCGTGCCTTTCATTGGTATTGCCAGAGTGTATTAGTGTCCATTTCTCCTTGCTGGAATGTATTGTGTTCAATGTATTGTCGAAGGCTTTCATGGCTGCTCAACCAATTCAACATATTATCGAAGGCTTTCATGGCTGGAATCACTAGGTTCTTGTGGGTTTTTTCGGGCTATAGGGCCATGTTCTAGAGGCATTTCTCCTGACGTTTCGCCTGCATCTATGGCAAGCATCCTCAGAGGTAGTGAGGTGTGTTGGAATTAGGACAATGGGTTTATATATCTGTGGAATGGCTGGGGTGGGGCAAAGAGCTCTTCTCTGCTGGAGCTAGGTGTGAATGTTTCAACTGACCACCTTCATTAGCATTTGAAGGCCTGCCTGAGCCTGGGAAAATCTGTTGCTGGGAGGTGTTAATCTGTGCCTGGTTTTTTCCTCTCTGTTGTTTAGCTGTTATAATTTTAGAGTTTTTCAATATTGGCAGCCAGACCCTGCTCACCTTCATTGTCTCCTCCCCTCTGCTGAAACTGTCCACATGCTTGTGGACCCCAATGGCCCCTGTATTGTGTTCGTTTTGACCAATCAGCTCTCTCATCTGTTGAGGTTCTTTTGGATCCCACCCCTGTCCTCTGGGGGCATTCGCTTTCCTTCCACTTTGGTCCCATCTGCAAATGTGATCAGCCTGCCTTCTAATCCATGGTTGTCCAAGTCCTTAATGAAGATCCTGAATGGCCCTAAAGGCCCAGGACAGGAGCCCCGTGGTGGCCCTTCTTCTCACCTGGAGGAGGAGCAGAAGGAGGAGCCATTGGAGAGAAGCGCCCTTTGCATTGCGTCAGTGAACCAGTGTGGTCAAAAATCAGGAGGCCATGTTCTGACTTATCACCTCACACATTACACACACACCTCACCACCAATCTTTCCATTCCCCATTAACATACAGACTCAGACTGAGGCTCAAGAGGTTGGGAAGTACAGAGAAACTTTATTGGTGGACCTTGTGTCTCCTTCGGCAATCCCTGGTGGGTCTGGTCCTCTTCCAAGGGAGAAAGAGCCTTGGCGGTAGGTGGGTTCGAAGGGGACTGGGAAGGAGACCCAATCTGGATCCACAGGGCCTTTCTTCCATCATTGCATTGCATCACGGAGCACGCAGGTCACAAGGGCTTTAGGTGGGAGCAGAGTGGGAAGCCTGGCAGGAGGCCTCTTTTCCTCTGGAGTCCAGCTCAGTAGTGAATCCCTAGAACAAGAGAGGAAAGGTCCATCAAGACATGGGTCTTCACCCTCACTTTGGGCCTCACCTGGAACATTGTTCTGAGGCTTGAACCACACGGTAGCATTGCCCAGTTGTTGCTCCCATGGTTGTTGTGTGCCTTCAAGTCAAAAACTGATATCGAGCTCTTTTTAGGGGGGGGTCTCTCCAGGGAGGAGAGCCCAAGGACCGCACCAAAGAGGGTCCTGGATACCTTGGTGAGATTGCTAGAAGCCAATCCAAGAGCGCAGAATATAATAAGGTCACCAGAGGCGGAAGAAGTCCAGCGATCGAGGCGTTTATTTGCGATTCAGCTGAAAAGGATGCATTACAGGAATCATTCCACTGTAAGCATGCAGTCCAAGAATTTTTAGGCATTTTTATACAGTCAGAACAAAGGAAAGCAATTTGAAAATCCCGCCCGCCCCCCTGTCAGCCGGCTTCATGCTGATTGGCTGAGGCTGGAACAGCTGGGAGGAGGTAATCCCGCCCTCCTCCGTCAGGAGCCAATGGGAGCGATTCTCCGCCTCGGGAGGGCCAATGGGCGCCCTCCGCTCGCTTCCTGGGTTCTGGCCAATCAGGAGCGAGGAGGCGGGACGGCCGCGGACAATGGGGGAAAGATGATGGGATTTGGGCTTTCCTGCCCGCTGGAATGCGGGCTATTGTCCAAGGCGGGAAGAGGGTGATGTTTGGCAAACAAAAGGGCTTTCCTGTTCTTGATGAGTCTGGCAAGGAATGTGAATAGCTGGATCGATATCGGACCGCCCGGGGGATCAACAATATCTGGGTGATTTAATCAGTCCTTTCTTTCCGGGGCTCTGCTGACCCTTCCTCTTCCGTTGGTCCTGCTCCGATGACGAAATCGGGGGGCCAGCAGCATTGTCCATGCAAAATGAGTCAATCAATGGGTGATTTGGGGGAAAGAGGCTTGGGCTCTTTCCCTCAGGCAGTTCCTGGTCAGGCTGGGTTCTTGGGGTAAGGGGTCAAGGAGGGGAAGATACAGGGGAGTTCATTGAGGGATACATATAATATACAGGCATTTTACAATATCCCAACCCACAACCCATCCCAACCCCATTCCATCATATTAAGAAAATATTTTATTTATTTTTCTTAAGAGAAAAAGGAAAACTATAAGTCCCAAAGTCCGGACGGAGAGATTTGGATGCAGGGGCCAGCCCATGGTTCAGGCTGGCCATCAGAAGATCAGTTCATTTTATGAAACAGGAGCTGGAGCTGAAGGGGGAGCTATGTTCCACTGTCCCGTCCTTGGTGGAACTAGCGCTCCCAACCGGGGATCGGGCCTCCCTGCCCGATCCCCACTTCCAAGGCTTCCCCTTGGGCAATCGGCGGTGGATCCCAGGCGGCTGGAGCCATGCTGGAGCGGGCGGCAGCAAGCGGAATGAAGCAAGCGGCAAAAGCCGGCGAAATTTTGACAATCAGCTGGTGACTCGGCCGAATTTAATGATTAAACAAAAACAATTATTTCACGAGTGCAGGAGTCCAAAATGAGAAAACCAAGATAGCAGTTAATCTTAGAATTTAGTGTAGAAAAATATAAAATTTGAACGGGCCCGATCCGCCATGTTGTTGTTTTGGCGGATAAGGGGGGCCAATGGGAAAATCTCCGTATCCGCGATTTGAACTAACGCAAATTCGGAGGCCTGGGGAGGCCAGGAAGGCGTCCCCAGTGAGCTCACGGTTCCCCGGAGCTCAGAAAAAGGTTTATTGTGAGTTAGAAAAGTTGCAGTCAGTAAAGGGACACAAAGTATCAAGCGGAAAGGATTTAAAGTTTCAAAACCTAAGTGTTTTTATTGAGGGATTGGTTACAAAGAGAGGGAGAGGGGAAAGTGAAAGAAAAGCTTCATGCAATCCTTGGCTTTTAGCTGCTGGCTGGGGCACATTTCATCAGTCGGACCCAACTTGGCCCTCCGGAACTGCGGAACTCCCTGCTGCAGTGCAGACCAATTCGAGGGGGAGATTCCGCTACTTGGGGGGGGGGTCATCATTATCAACTTTATTTATACCCCGCAAAATCTCCCAAAGGACTCGATGCGGCTTACAATCCCACCATTCCTCACAGCCTCGGGTCCCTTCCATTTCCCCCTCAGCCACTTAAAAGGAAAGGAAAGGATGGAAAGGGGCCTGAGGCTGTGAGGAAGGGTGGGAGTCCAAACACCTGGATGGAGGGAGGGAGGGAGGGAGGGAGGGGGGAGGGAGGGCCCAAGTTGGCTCAGGCCCGATCTAAATGCTAATTTTTGTCCAGAGCTGCTAGTGTTTGTGTTACTGATCTGCAAGGTAAAGGCCTTCCTGATTTTGGAACGTGACCCCTGCTCTCGGCCGGCCTGCGTTGCTGTTCAAGGCGGGACCTCCAGGTGAGTTGGAGGCGCAGAGCTCGCTTTCCTCGCCTATGGAATGAGCACAAGACCCCAACAGCGTTTTCCCCTAGGAATCTCTAGGTTCCTTCAGCAGAACTCTCTGCGATCCCTGGTGGAGAGGTCACACTATCATCACATCTGCAAATAATCCTGCCCATCAAAGTGGGGCCTGCCAAGAGGGGCCCCTTCCACCCCGCTTTGGGGGCATTGCTTTGGTCTTACCGTGGTGGCCACAGGTACTTTTCGCACTGCGCCTTGGTCTCAAAGTTGTTGGCGTTGCCCTCGCAGCCTCCGTAGGTGAAGCCCTCGCACCTCTTGGCCGGGGCGTTGTAGAACCAGCGGGAGAGCATGGCGTAGCAGGAGCCTTGGTCTTTGGGCAGGGTGCAGGGGTCTGAGGAGCGGAACAGGAGGCCGGCATCTCAGTGCTGGTGGACAGTGCCTTAGCCGCCACGGCTCCATGCTATGGAAGCACGGGAGTTATAGTTTTACAGGGCCTTTCCCATGCTACGGAGTTGCAGTTTCCCAAGGCCTTTAGCCTTATCTGCCAAAGAGGATGGGTTTCCCTGCCAAACTACAACTCCCAGGATTCCAAAGTTTGGAGCCATGGCCCTCAAAGTAGTGTCAAGTCGCATTAAGTCCAAACTGTAGATGCACTCTAGGAGCCAGTGGAGCAATGGATTCAAATTTTGGGAAAAGAGATTTCCCCTAAATGTTTGGAAGAACATCTGAAGGCAGGAACAGTTCAGCAGAGAAAGTCTTCAGAACCCAGTGGATTATCTGTCTTTGAACCACGAGCTGGATGATCCCCTTTTGGGGTGCTTTCCTGATCTATTCCTTCCTGCCTGGTGGAGGGGAGTTGGGCTAGATGGCCCTTGGGATCCCTTCCAGCCCTAGGACTCCATGAATGCAGACTGGGAGAGGGATGGCATGTGTGAAACTGGGGAAACCCTTGGACTTGCCAGCCAGAAACATCCTTAAGATAGAACTCAAAGAATCATGGGATCCTAGAGCTGGAAGGGACCCCCAAAGGCCACCCAGTCTTCCTCTTTTTGCCACTTGGGAAGACACCACCCAAGCCCTCCTGACAGGTGGCCATCTAGCCTCTGCTTAGAGGCCTCCAGAGAAGGAGGGAGACTTCACTGGGTCCTGAGGCAGCATTGGACTTCACTGCTGAACAGGAAGTTCTTCCCAATGTTCATGTTCCGTCAGGAAGTTCTTCCCAATGTTCATGTGGAATCTCTTTCCCTGCCGTTTGAACCCATTCCTCCCTTGTGTTCGAGTCTTTAGGGAAACACAAAGCAGTATTTCTCCCTCCCCCCCTCCCCATGTGCCATCTTTCCAAATATGTAAAGATTTCTCTCGTGTCCCTTCTCTCAGCCTACTTTCCCCCAAAGTAAACACCCCCATCTCCCTAAGTCATTCCTCGTAGGCCTTGCTTCCAGACCTCTGACCATTCTGGTTGACCTTCTTTGGAAACTTTCCCTCGTGCCCATCTCTTTCTTGGCTTGCTTTGCCCAGAACCGGACACAGGTTTATGATTCCAGGCCCAACCAGAGCAGAAGAGAGTGGGGCGAGGACGTCCCTCGATCTCCACACTCACCTCTGTTGATGGGTGCCTTGATGGGCATCTTCTGGAGGGCTTTTGTGATGCATTTCTGTGTAGCAGAAATGGATTAGACTACATAATCTTGGGGGGTCCCTTCCAACCCAAGGAATCCATGCAAGAAGGATGAAGGGTTGGAACTCCTGAAAGTGAGAAAGCCCTCTGCTTGAATCCTGGCCCCATAGAAACATCCCTAATACAAGACAGAACTGTTTATAGCGGGCATGGGCACACTTTGGCCCTCCAGGTGTTTTGGACTTCAACTCCCACCATTCCTAACAGCCTACCAGGCATTGACCACCTGATCTTCCACCCTTACCTGTCCCCCCATCCACGGAGGGCAACTGGGACCAAATGGCCAGGAGAGCCACCAAGAAGAGGGGGAACCTTCTGCCGGGCTTCATGCTGCTCAGCTGCGTCCAGGGGAACCGAGTCTTGGGCTGCTTTGGGTCCTGATTTAAAGCCTCCTTGATTGACACTCAGCTCGGCCCGCAATTGGGCAAGAAGACGATGGAAGTTCCCCAAGAGGCTGGACGAGGGGAACAAACCTGTTTGGCGGTTCCTCCTCAATTAGGGGCTCTTGTTCCTGTTGCAATGGGCCTCCCAGCCTTCCTCTATTGCATGGCCACCCTGAGGCCCAACGGTCGCACAGAGACCCCCATCCCTGTGGCTGCTGACCAGATGGCCATCTGTTGAGAAGGCTTTGACTGGGTGCTCCTGCATGCCAGGGGATTGGGCTGGGTGGCCCTTGGGGGACTTCCCAAATGGTATTTTTATATGATGCAGTCTCTTCTCAGAGAAATGGAGCGAGGATCTTGTACTCTCCATAAGGAATTTTTAAAAAGAAGGGATTCAAAATATGATCGGTGTCAGATCTCCTTTTCCTGGGCAAGGCGTGGTGGCCTCGCAACTCCAAGGGTTCCTGGATGAAACACATTATCTAGACCCATCTCAGTCTGTTCTCAGGCCTGGCTGTGGGACTGAGACAGCATTAGTCACCTTGGTAGATGATTGACGTAGAGAGCTAGATTTGGGGAGTCCCTCTTAGACCTTTCAATGCCATGGGTCATGGTGTCCTTCTGGACCTCCTCGTGGGCATAGGACTAGGGAGCACTGTTCTGCCGTGGCTCCGGTCCCTCCTGGAGGGTCGGGTCCAGAAGGTGACACTGGGGGACTCCTGCTCGACCCCATGGCCTTTGTCTTGTGGGGGTCCCCCAGCAGGGTTCAGTACTGTTCCCCAAGTCATTTAACATCTACATGAAGCTGGGAGAGATCATCTGGAGTTTTGGAGTGGTACCACCTCTATGCAGATGACACCCAACTCTATCACTCTTATCCACCGGATGCCAAGGATGCCGTCCTGACCCTGAACTGGTGTCTGTCAGCAGTGATGGACTGGATGAGGATGAACAAACTGAAATTGAATCAGACAAGGCAGAGGTCCTCCTGGTCAGTTGGGGGTCAATCAGGATCTAGGGTTGCAAGCTGTGCTGGATGGGGTCACACTTCCCCTGAAGGTGCAGTTCCACGGCTTGGGGCTCCTCCTGGACTCAGCACTGACCCTGGAGGCCCAGGTGTCGGCAGTGGCCAGGAGGGCCTTCGCACAGCTAAGGCTGGGGCACCAACTGCACCCGTACCTTGAAAACCCTGATCTGGCCATCATGGTGCACGCCTTAGTCACATCTAGACTAGATTACTGTGATGGGCTCTACGTGGGGCTGCCCCAGAAGAGTGTTCACCTTCACAGCCATGGCCAGGATACACTGTCAAATGCTTTCTCTGCATCTAAAAATATAAAACCCACCTGCTTTTCACTCTGGACCTCATACTATTGAGGTAGAATCATTTTTGTTGCTACTTCGTAACTGTAATTTTCTACTTAATTGTCATGTCATCATCTGATCTGCAGGATGGATTTTCATTCACTGGACCAAATTTGGTACTAATACCCACTACATCCACATTTGAATACTCGTGGGGTTGGGGAGGGGTTGATTTTGGGAGTTGTAGTTGCTGGGATGGTTCACCTACAATGAAAGAGCACTCTGAACTCCACCAAGGATGGAATTCAACCAAACTTGGCACACAGGACTCCCATGACCAACAAAAAACTTGAAGGGTTTGGTGGGCATTGACCTTGAGTTTTGAAGTTGTAGTTCACTTACATTTAGAGAGCAATGTGGACTCAAACAATGATGGATCTGGGTTATTGTTGGTTTTTTTCAGGCTATCTGGCCATGTTCTAGAGGCATTCTCTCCTGACGTTTCACCCATCATCTATGGGAAGCATCGTCAGAGGATCTGGACCAAACTTGGCACGAATATTCAATATGCCCAAATATGAACACTGATGGAGTTTGGGGAAAATAGACCTTGAAATTTGGGAGTTGTAGTTGCTGGGATTTATAGTTCACCTACAATCAAAGAGCATTCTGAACTCCACCAATGATGGAATTGAACCAAACTAGGCACACAGGACTCTCATGCCCGACAGAAAATACTAGAAGGGTTTGGTGGGCATTGACTTACAGTTTGGGAGTTGTAGTTCACCTACATCCAGAGAGCAATGTGGACACAAACAATGATGGATCTGGACCAAACTTGGCACGAATACTCCATATGCCCCAATATGGGCACAGATGGAGTTTGGGGGGAAATAAACCTTTACTTTTGGGAGTTGTAGTAACTGGGATTTATAGTTCACCTACCATCAAAGAGCATTCTGAACCCCACGAACAACAGAATTGGGGCAAACTTCCCACACAGAACCCCCACACTTAAGGCCATCCAGTCCAACCCCCTTCACCAGGGCAAGAAAATGTAATCAAAGCCCTCCTGACAGAGAGCCATCCAGCCATAGATATAGATAGATATGATTCACACAGAGAGAGATAAAGTATTATAGATTTGAAAGGAACTCCTAAAGATGGACAATGATACGTTGCATGTTCCAGAGTAGGAAGAGACCTCATGGGCCATCCAGTCCAACCCCATTCTGCCAAGAAGCAGGAATATTGCATTCAAACACCCCTGACAGATGGCCATCCAGCCTCTGCTTAAAAGCTTCCAAAGAAGGAGCCTCCACCCCGCTCCGGGGCAGAGAGTTCCACTGCTGAACGGCTCTCACAGTCAGGAAGTTCTTCCTCATGTTCAGATGGAATCTCCTTCTTGTAGTTTGAAGCCATTGTTCCTTGTCCTAGTCTCCAGGGAAGCAGAAAACAAGCTTGCTCCCTCCTCCCTGTGGCTTCCTCTCACATATTGATACATGGCTATCATATCTCCTCTCAGCCTTCTCTTCTTCAGGCTAAACATGCCCAGCTCCTTAAGCCGCTCCTCATAGGGCTTGTTCTCCAGACCCTTGATCATTTTAGTCGCCCTCCTCTGGACACATAAACGAATAGATACTGGGCATGTGCAATCCATGGTTCTAAATGGTTCTAACAAAGAAACAGCAAGAAATACTGTTGACCCACAAGCAGAAAGCCTTGACATAGATTAGAAACCAACACTTTCTCATGACTTTATTTTCCAGATCGCCAGGCTGGGCCACAGCAACAAATGACTATACGTCCTATACGTCTTGTGGAGGGTTGCTATTTCCAACGCAAAGCAATATGGCAAAGGCTGCAGAAGGGACGTGCCTCCCTCCATCGGTCGATGCAACCCTCTGGATGTTTTTGGATTGCAACACCCAACAGCCCTCGGCCTCAGCTCTGCGGGTTAAGCTTGTCCAGCGGCATTTTGTGAGGCTCATTTGCATACCCTGAATACACAACCTATCAAGGGACATCTGTCTTGAGACCTTTCATCTTCCAGGATAATCATCACCTACAAGGGCCGCCCAATATTTCAAAACTATCTGGGGGCAATTGGGAATTCAACACTCTAGATCAGCCGTGCCATAAAGTGCCTCTATAACAGAACTGCCCCAGGTAAGCCGAGGGCAGAAAAGGTCGGGAGAACGCAGGGACAGAAAATGGATGGGCAGGAAAAGAGATTTAAAGATGGGCTCAAAGCCAACCTTAAAAACTCTGGCATAGACACAGAGAACTGGGAAGCCCTGGCCCTTGAGCACTCCAGCTGGAGGTCAGCTGTGACCAGCAGTGCTGCAGAATTTGAAGAGGCACGAATGGAGGGCGAAAGAGAGAAACGTGCCAAGAGGAAGGCGCGTCAAGCCAACCCCGACCGAGACTGCCTTCCACCTGGAAACCAATGCCCTCACTGTGGAAGAAGATGCAGAGCAAGAATAGGGCTCCACAGCCACATATGGACCCACAAGAATATTGGAAGACAATCATCCTCGGAAAACGAGGGATCCCCTAAGTAAATAAGTAAGTAAGTAAGTTCTGCAGAGGGCCACAAGGGAGCGGCAGAGAGCAAATGGAGACCGTGGGGAGGAAATGCGCCCCACTGGCCCCCAATTCCAAGGGGCTGCCAGGCTCCTATCCTGAAGCCCAGCCTGGCTTCTTTGGGGCCTAAGAGCTTTGCTATAACGCATGAGCACATACCTGTTTGTTTTTAATACTGTTCATGTTTACTCCTGTTTTAATGTTTGTGTGTTTTTTGTGTTTCAAATTGTATCAGTTTTACGGTACGCTGCTTTGAGTCTCTTTTTTGGACAGAAAATGTGGGGTATAAATAATAATAGAGGGCGAGGTGGCGCAACGGTTAAACTCTTGTGCTGCTGAACTTGCTGAACTGAAGGATGGCAGTTTGCATCTGCAGGTTGGGGTGAGCTCCCATTGTTAGCGTCAGCTCCTGCCAACCTAGCACTTCGAAAACATGCAGATGTGAGCAGATCAATAGGTACCACTTGGCTGGAAGGTAGACAGCGCTCCATGCAGTCATGCCAGTGGCCACATGACCTCGGAGGTGTCTATGGACAAGGCAGGCTCTTCAGCTTAGAAATGGAGATGGGGCCCTCCCCTAGAGCCGGACATGAAAGGGGAAGCCTTTGTCTGTGTATCTGCGTTTCATGTGTTTCAAGGCATTGAGTGTTTGCCTGTGTCCGTATATAGGTTGGAATCTGCCCTGAGTCACCTCAGGAAGATAGGGCAGAATACAAATAAAGTGTTGTTGTGTTGTTGTAGGTTTTTTCAGGCTATATGGCCACGTTCCAGAGGCATTCTCTCCTGACGTTTCGCCTGCATCTATGGCAAGCATCCTCAGAGGTAGTGAGGTCTGTTGGAACTAGGAAAAGGGTTTATATATCTGTGGAATGACCAGGGTGGGACAAAGGACTCTTGTCTGCTGGAGCTAGGTGTGAATGTTTCAACTGACCACCTTGATTAGCATTTGATAGCCTGGAAGTGCCTGGAGCAATCTTTTGTTGAGAGGTGATTAGATGAACATGATTGTTTTCCCTGCTGTTGTGGTAATAATAATAATAATAATAATAATAATAATAATAATAATAAATAGCATATAGATCTCGTTTGCTGTGTCATACTGTGGTTTTGTGTCAGTAAAATAATAATAATAATAATAATAATAATAATAATAATATACTTTATTTGTCCAAGATTGCATTCTGGATTCCACTTGTTCCACTTGTTCCACTGGATTCCACTGGATTCCAGTTGTTGTTGTTTCCTCTCCTAAGAGACTCAGAGTGACTAACTCTGCTCAAAACAATACAATGTATAATTTTAAAGTTCTACTTCCCTATATTATGATCATATATTATAATTTATTCTTTAATGTTCATGCATGCAAATGGAAAGGGTGGGAACTGTTTGCAGCTGCTGAATAGAACATGACCGGAGGCAGCCAAACCTCATGAGCCTGGGATGCGGGCTTCTCTTCTTTGGGCGGAGTGATGGGTTTCGCTCATGCAAAAGCCAAGAGAGAGCGGGATCCAAAGACGTTTTGGTGACCTGGCCAATAAAGGGAAAGACTGGGGACAGTGAAATGCATGTTGCATTTTGACGAATGGGAAGATCGTGAGCAAATAATTCAAATTGTGCTACCTGTAAATGATGGTTGTGATGCTTGGAAGCCTTGACAGTAACCAAGACACAGATACTCAACTCTTGCTTCTGTCTGATTAAACAGAGCATTCCCAGCCCAAAGTGAGCTTATTTCCTGAGTGGAGGGAGCCTGGGATGCCGATGCTCCTTGCTTGGCCCCAGTGCTTGGCCCCAGGGAGAGAAAAAGCCGGGTATAAACAAACATCACAATAGTAATAATAAGAATTGACCCCAGAGTCCCTTTTGCAGAACGGCCATGCTGCTCTCCAGGTGATGAACCAGGTGATGAACCTCCAAATTCATTGGCCGGACCCAGTGATGAACCTCCAAATCCAGGTGATGAACCTCCAAGTCCATTGGCTGGATCCAGTGGAGCCCGTCACTGTAAGTCAGTCTGAGTGGAAACATCTGGAAGAGAAAAGCAAGCCTTTGGTCAGGCAACTCACACAATGAAGTTCAACGGGGACAAATGCTCCACTTGGGCAGAAAAAACCAAATGCAAAGAGACAGAATGGGGGGCGCATGGCTTGAGAGTAGGATGTGGGGGAAAGATCTTGGAGTCCTCGTGGACAGGAGGTTAAACATGAGCCAGGAATGTGATGTGGTGGCAAAAAAGCCAATGGGATTTTGGCAAGCATCAAGAGGAGCCTAGTGTCTAGCTCTAGGGAAGTCCTGCTCCCCACGCTCTATTCCGCTTTGGTTAGACCACACCTGGAATATTGTGTCCAATTCTGGGCACCACAATTCAAGAGAGATATTGACAAGCTGGAATGTGTCCAGAGGAGGGTGACTAAAATGATCAAGGGTCTGGAGAACAAGCCCTATGAGGAGCGGCTTAAGGAGCTGGGCATGTTTAGCCTGAAGAAGGGAAGGCTGAGAGGAGATATGATAGCCATGTATAAATATGTGAGAGGAAGCCACAGGGAGGAGGGAGCAAGCTTGTTTTCTGCTTCCCTGGAGACTAGGACGCTGGAACAATGGCTTCAAACTACAAGAGAGGAGATTCCATCTGAACATGAGGAAGAACTTCCTGACTGTGAGAGTTCAGCAGTGGAACTCTCTGCCCCGGAGGGAGTGTGGTGGAGGCTCCTTCTTTGGAAGCTTTTAAGCAGAGGCTGGATGGCCATCTGTCAGGGGTGCTTTGAATGCAATATTCCTGCTTCTTGGCAGAATGGGGTTGGACTGGATGATGGCCCAGGAGGTCTCTTCCAACTCTAGGATTCTAGATTCTATGATTCCCAGTATCCTTTCCTACTGCGCATGAGGGGAAACCTCCCGGCCTCATCATAGCCTTACCTTGCTGGGCGTTGGCGCAGTTCATGGCGCACCCTGTGAAGCAGCACTTGGTCTCTCCGGGGCACTGCTGGTCCTGGAGGCAAGTGTCGAAACACGGCTCCTCCGGCGACTTCTTCACCCGCTGCCGCCTGGGACACTTGCCCGGTTTCTCTGGAAGTCAGAAAGAGGAAATGCAACGAGAGGACCAGGCTTGGCTTGCGAATGCGCACCCGATTGGCGAGACCCCAATCTCTGAGGGAAGAAAGGGTGAACCATAGGCAGGAGTTCAGCTGAATGTCTCTTTTGACACCCAGGCTCTGGAGAGAATGGAACAGAATCGCTTTATTGGTCATTGTGCCATTGCAATGCGAAATCACGTGCCTTTCGTTGCACAAAACAACACACCCCTTCCTCCACCACCACACAGCCCTTAATGCCACGTCAGTGCGAAACTACAAAATTCAACATAACCACAGCTCTAGGATAAAAGCGACACGTTAGTCTGTCCTTGTCTTTGTCACCCTGTACCGTCTGCCAGATGGCAATAATTCAAATAAATAAATTCCACATTCCGACCACTATTACTCAGTTCCTAGTGCAAACTTTGGCCCTCCTGGTGTTTTGGACTCCAACTCCCACCATTCCCAACAGCCTCGGGCCCTTTCCTTTTCCCCCTCAGCCGCTTAAGGAAGGGGCCTGAGGCTGTTGGGAATGGTGGGAGTTGGAGTCCAAAACACCTGGAGGCCCAAGTTGGCCCATGCCTGCCCGATTGCCACCTCTCCCAACCAGAGCCCTCATCCCCATTACCTTCCAGGGGGGCCATGCAGACGCGCCCACAGCTGGTCTCGCAGCACTTCTCCTTGCCGGGGCAGCCCTTGTCCTCTGTGCACAGCGTCCCACACATCGCGGGGCTATTGAGCTTCTTGGTCAGCGGCGGAGGGCAGTGGCCGGACTTCTCTGCACCCGGAAGAGAAAGCGGAGCAAGGGTCTTTTCATTTGGAACAGCAGGAGAGGGATTCATACATGTTGGAGCATGTAAGAAGTCAGTCAATGTGTGTGTGTCAGCTGTAAAATGAGTTGCATAAAGCTGATGGGTGGAGCTACGCCTGGGGAGCTAGTGAGCCTGGTACTTTTGGATACTGTTACATTTTTGTTCAGGTGTTCTGGTACAGCTGTACCAGAAGCTCAAATTTTGTTTGTTTTGCATTGAATGTTTGTTTGCAGTCCTAAGTTTCAGGGACTCTGCAGATAGGTGGCTTCTTTTGGTTGCAGTTATAGGGCAAGCCACCTGCCCATCATCGTTGAGTTTGGTCCCGCCCCTTGCTCAGGGCAATTGGGAAGGGAATGTGCCATTTTTTAGTTAGTCTCAGCAAGGAAAGCTATGTACAGGATGTGCATAAACTTCCTCTGTACAAAAGCTTCAACCTTTAAGAATTTCCAGGGAAGCATTCCCACAGCTTTAAGAATCTCCAGGAAAACAGCCCTAAAGACTAAAGAACTCCAGCTTGAGAACATCTACTGCCTTGCTGGTAGGTCCACTCGGCGTTCGAGACGCAGTTCGACCCGGTAGCGGAGCCCACATCAGTAAGGGTTAGATTACAGTCAGCCTGGGAGAAGTTAAAAAGGGGATTTTCCTTTAAAGAAGAAGTTATTGAAGACAGTTGCCTGTCCTTCGTGGGCAAGATTAGGAATTCACCAGTTACCCAAAAGCTTGGAATAATTTGCTTAATTTTACTGAAGACAAGAGAAGTTTCTGTTTGATTGTTCATTTGTTGTACTTCTCAAGCCATCTAAAGACTGTTTGTGGTGGAAACCTCTGAGAACTTCTCCTTGGGCCCCTGGCTTCCCGCTGGGCAAAAGTTGTCCTGTTTTAAAGGCAATTATTTAGAGGCCCAGCGCGCGACAGAACATCAGGCTTGAGCTATGCGGGTGCAGACAGAAGCACAGAGTGCAGCAGAGGGAAGCAGAGAGAGACAAAGTTTGGAGTGTGCTCTAGCTTCATGAGCTGCTGAAGGAGTTTGTCCACATGGACAAAGAAAGACCATTGTAAATCTATATAAATAAAAATGCAATGTTCGTTTGTGGGATTAACATAACTCAAAAACCACTGGACGAATTGACACCAAATTTGGACACAACACACCTATCAGGCCAACAAGTGACCATCACTCAAAACACTGAAAAACACAGTAGAAGGACTTTTAAAAAGCCAAAAAACAAAATAATCCATTACAATGCAAAACCACTTTTATATACACAAACACACACATATACACAGACTGAGCCACAGCAACGCGTGGCAGGGGATGGCTAGTCTCTCATAAAAGGACATTATGTGAGTTGATGCAACTGACCACATGACTGTAAATATGTTGTTCTGAACTATGAAGAATAAACTACTTGTCCTTTACTGTTCACCCGCACGTGACATATTTTCCTTCTCTGTCAAGGCAGCGTGTGGGCTGATCAAACGTGAACTACGCATGATTTTCATTTCGTCACAATACACACCCTGGGCTGATGGATCCCGCCAAGGGCAACTGGAGCTGGCTACTCTAGGGCCAAAGTGGTGTCAAACTGCATCTACTGAATGTACGCAGTTCAGCACCACTTCAACAGCCATGGCTCCATGCTACAGAAACCTGGGAGCTGTAGTTTGGTGGGGCACCAGTACTTTTGATCAGGAAAGGCTGAAGATATTATAAAACTAGAACTCCCGGGATCCCATGACATTGTGCCATGAAGTGAATTATGGTGATGCCAAACTGCATTCATTCTACAGTGTGGATGCATCCTGAATTGGACTGTTTCAATTGTAAACCTCACCTCAGGGTGTATCTATTCTGGGCATGAGCAAACTTGGGACCTCCAGTTGTTTTGGACTCCAACTCCCACAATTCCTAACAGCCTACCGGCTGTTAGGAATTGTGGGAGTTGGAGTCCAAAACACCTGGAGGGCCCAAGTTTGCCCATGCCTGTGCTATAGAATCACAAGTTCCTAGAGTTGGAAGAAATCACAAGGGCCATCCAGGCCAAACCCATTCTGTCATGAAGGAAAAGCACAACCCAAGCCCTCCTGACAGATGGACATCCAGTCTAGCTTGAAAATGTCCAGAGAAGGGGCTCTCCAGGCTCCAAGGCCATGGCATATTCTGACGTTGAAAAGCAGTAACTGCCAGGAACTCTTCCTAATGTTGTGATGGAAGCGCTTTTCCTGCCATTATCCCATACCTCCTGCATCCTCCCCACAGCCTCCACCCCGCACCCCTTGGCATTGGATAGAATAATAGAATAGAATAACTTTGTGGTCATTATACAGGGTTAGTCAAAATGAATAGGCCAATAATGAATAATGAATAATGAATATTGGCCTATTCATTTTGACTAACCCTGTACATTGTACAACGAAATTAGATGCCACCCCAATCACATTAGAATCACAAAACAAGCCCCCACCCTTCCACATTCTAATCACTCTTGCACTCACTAATTGCCCACAAAGCGAGCGAGCGAGCGAGCGAGAGCGTGGAGACATCTCTACATTGTTGGAAATAGCCACCTTCTATAAGCCTTCTATACTAGTTATTTGTTATGTTTGTAATTGCTTACTGTATTGTGTGTGTGTGTGTTCATTTATTATTTATTATTTATTTATTTAACTTTTATTTATTATTTAACTTTTATATACCGGTGTTCTCACCTCCAGCGAGGGACTCAGGCTGGTTTACAACAAAGGTATTCATACACAATAGTTTAAAAACATCACATCCAAATATACACTAATATAAACACATTAAAGTACTATCATATAATTATATAAGGCCAAATCATTAACATAAAATCACTATTCATCCCCATCCGTCGGTGTGGACAAGAGTTATTGCCTCACTCATCAAATGCCAAATTCCAGAGCCAGGTTTTCACCAACTTTCTAAAGGTCAGGAGGGAAGGGGCAGTTCTAATCTCCAACGGGAGAGAGTTCCAGAACCGAGGTGCCACCACCAAGAAGGCCCTGTCCCCCATCCCCACCAGACGCGATTGCGAGGGTGGTGGGACTGAGAGCAGGGCCCCTCCAGACAATCTTAACAAGCTTGATGGTTCATAGGGGAGAATACGTTCGGACAGGTAAACTGGACCGGAGTCATTTAGGGATTGGTTTGCAGCTTTCCTTAACTTAACTATGTTGTGGGCGGGGCTGCAGACCATGTGATCAGATCTGGGACTGTTCAGGACTCAGACTCCATTTTAGAAACAGAAGGCTTTAGAGGACAGAGACTCTATTAGACTTTCGGAACAGAGAGATGCCTTAGATTTTGGACTGTATGTTCTAAGAAAGCTGCCCTGTCTTATTTGCACAGAGAAACTACTCTGTGCAAATCCTATCTGTAACTGGATTGATATGCAATGTTTCTGTATGCTGAATACATGAAGTTTGTGAGTAAACCAACTCGGTTAATTTAATGAAGACTATTTTATTTTTGGCATGATTTAAACTACCGTATATACTCGAGTATAAGCCGACCCGAATATAAGCCGAGGTACCTAATTTTACCACAGAAAACTGGGAAAACATATTGACTCGAGTATAAGCCGAGGGTGAGAAATGACGCCGCTACTGGTAAATTTCAAAATAAAAATAGATACCAATAAAATTACATTAATTGAGGCATCAGGAGGTGAAATGGTGTTGAATATTTACATAAAATTGTAATTTGAGATAAGACTGCCCAGCTCTGATTAAATCATTATTCTAACCTTCTTCAATGTAAATGTATTTACATATCCTTCCAACAATAATAAAGAGAGTAAAATAATAAATGTAATAATAATAATAATAATAATGTAAAATAATGGAAATGCAATAATAACACTAATAATAGAGTAAAATAATGAATGTAATAATAGATAAAATTATAATGCAATAATAATAAAGTATAATAAATGTAATAATCATAATCGTCATAGGGTAAAATACTGTAAATGTAATAATAATAATAAAGTAAAATAATAAATGAAATAAAAATAATACTAATAACAGAATAAAATAATAAATAACCTTGACTCGAGTATAAGCCGAGGGGAGATTTTTCAGCTTAAAAAGGGGTCTGAAAAACTAGGCTTATACTTGAGTATATACAGTAAGTTGTTTACATGGCAACTGTAAACAACACTTCTGAAACTCTGCTATAAAGGTGTGTGTGTGTGTGTGTTTGTGCATTGGCATATCTTCAAAGAGATATCTAGGATATCAGTCTAACAGCTGAGAAACCTAATTGCCTTGCATGGATACTAGTGAATATATTATTTACCACTAAGGAGAAGGTTGACTCAAGCGAGTTTTGAATTCTTCTCGGGGGGATTCCTGCTTTTCCCAAAAGGCTTTGAGCAGCCATTTCCCAAAAGGTGATGGAGATGTCCATTTCCCCAAATACCTCTGCAGGGCGGCACGCATTGGTAGTTGCAGGCGTACTGGCAGCACTTCTCTTCCCCGGGGCACTCCGTGTCTCCCTCGCAGGACACTTTGCAGGGGGGGCTGTACAGCCCGTTGGGGGACGCCACGCAGAAGCCGGCCTTCCCTGCAAGGCAACAGAAACCGGATGGGATGGGGTGGGATGGGGGCGCACGCGTCTACACTGCAGAGGTGGTGCAGCCTGGTGGCACTTCATCCTCCATCGCTCAATGCTATGCCATCCTGGGAAATGGAGATTGGTGAGTCACCCTGTCATACCTTCACAGCCTGAATGTGAAAGGATCTTTTCAAACCAATTTGGAAGACTACCAGGAAAAGAAAGGCGAAAGCCCAGCAATAACCCTGACTATGAACTCTCAGAAGGCACCTCGGCCACACATGTGCGCTCTGGCCCAAATGGCCCCAGGGTCCCTTTCTAACCCTTTGGCTTCCCTCCCATATCAGACTTTATATGGTATTTAGAAACTCTTCAGCAAAAGACAATGAAATGTACATGGCTCACTGCCTCCGAGGCTGGAATTAGATTTAGGAACTGCTGCCAAAAGCTGTAGTCACGTTTCTTCTTTATTGCAACACAGAGTGATCTATTGAGTTCATGTGGTATTTGAGGACTTCTCTTAAACACATAGTTGGACTGGTGATGGACAAAATGGGACTGGTGAACTAGGTAGGTCTTTGGTATGGTTCAGTATGACCCTTATTATGTTTTGTCGAAGGCTTTCATAGATTGATTAGTGGATTGTTGTAGGGTTTTTTTTTTTTGGGCTATATGGCCATGTTCTAGAGGCATTCTCTCCTGATGTTTCGCCTGCATCTATGGCAAGCATCCTCAGAGGTAGTGAGGTCTGTTGGAACTAGGAAAATGGGTTTATATCATAGAATCATCTTTGTCTCACCCCCTGGTCATTCCACAGATATATAAACCCCATTTTCCTTAGTTCCAACACACCTCACCAACCTCTGAGGATGCCTTTGCCATAGATGCAGGCGAAACTTAGGAAAAGGGAGAAAAAATTGCCCTTTAGAAAAACAAAACCATGGCCATAGAAGGCCCAGAAAAACCTACAACAACCCAGTGATTCCAGCCATGAAAGCCTTCGACAATACATTGCTCTCCAGTCCTTTGTAAAGAGAGCCCCCAAGAAATATGTGAATAGTTTGAAGACCCCATGTCAGGCCCGGAAGGGACCTGGAGGCCAGAGAACCATAGCATCATAACAGAGTTGGAAGAGGCCTCGTGGGCCATCCCGTCCAACCCCTGGCCATGCGGGAAAAGCACCATCCGAGCACCCCTGAGAGTTGGCCATCCAGCCTCTGTTTAAAAGCTTCCAAGGAGGGAGCATCCACCAGACACCGAGGCAGAGAGTTCCACTGATGAAAAGCTCTCCTTACAGCCAGGAAGTTCTTCCTAATGTTCTATGGAATCTCCTCTCCAGCAACCCACGGCTCCATTGAGTCCTAGTCTCCAGGGCAGCAGAAAACAATCCTGCTCTCTCTTCCTTACGCAGCCTTTCACATATTTATTTATCCATGGCTCCTCTCATGTCTCCTCTCAACCTTCTCAATTCTTTAAGATGCTCCTCAGAGGGATTATTCGTGGTCTCCAGGCCTTTGCTCCTTCTAGTCTCCCTCTTCCTCTGGACACCTTCCAACTTAAGAGTTAATATCTCTTTTGAACTTTGGTGCCCAGAACTGGACGCAGGGTGATTCCAGGGAAGAGGTCTGCCCAAAGCAGAAGACAAAGGCACCAGGACTTCCCTCCAGGTCATCCAGTCCTCCGGCTGCTCAGTGGACCATCTCTGCCTCCAAGCAGACTCACCTTTCCTCTCTTCTCCATATTCCGAGGCCTGGCGCCCCTCTCCGAGCATGAAGAGCCCCACAAGCAGCCATTGCCCCCAGGGTGTCATGATGCTCCTGGAACGCAGCCTGGAAAAGCTGGAACTGAACCACAGGAGAGGCTTTACATTCCTCCCAGGGTGCGGCCCTTGCGACCTACCTGGACGGCTGCAGCGGCTCCTCCTTTCTCAGCCCGTGGTTTGGCAGAAGGAGCCCCATCCCTCCTTCCCAATGAGCCAGGGAGGCCTCCTTGGGGCCTCCTGGGGCCACGGTCCCCTCCAGGGCCTCCTCCCTGCATCCCTGCTGCTCAGGGGCCTCCAAGGTGCTCCTTCACCACCTCCAGGGAAGAAGAAGGAGGAGGAGATGAGGAAGGAGGAGGCTTTCCTGGAGATGCGGCAAGAGCGTCTCCTGCCCTGAGCCAAAACAGCCTTTTGTTCTTCTGTCCAAACAGGAAAAATTCAGGAGGAGACTTGCTGATGCCTCAGAGGAAAGAGTCCGTGGTTGTGGGTGAGACAGGAGAGGGAGAGGTGAGGGGCCCGTTCCCAGCCGGGCATACACACACCCTGCCCAAGTGGAGTACCTTGCCTTTGTCATTGCAAAACTCACACAATGAAGTCCAACAGAGACAAAGGCAAGAGACTCTGCTTAGGCAGAAAAAAGGAAAGGCAAAGAGACAGAATGGGGGGCGATGAGGCCTGGCTGGACAGCAGGACGTGTGGAAAATATCTTGGAGTTCTCCTCGTGGGGAGGAAGAAGGGGAACACAAGCCAGGAATGTCATCCAGCAGCCAATGGGATTTCCCCCTGCATTAAGAGGAGCCTCGTGCCTAGATTCAGGGAGGTCATGCCCCCCATGCTCTATTCTGCCTTGGTCAGCCCACTTGACCTGGAATCCCACTGTGTCCCATTTTGGGCACTGCAACGGAAGGGAGATGTTGACTCTCAGCTGGAATGCTGTGTCCAGAGGAAGAGGGTGAACCAAAGGGTCTGGAGAACACACCCGATGAGGACAGAGCGGCTGGAAGAGCTTCTGGGCATGTTTAGCCTGCAGAAGAGAGAAGGCTGAGAAGAGACAGGATGAGGGCCAGCCAGGGGTCAAGAGGTGAGACCAGGGAAGTCACATGGAAGAGGGAGCAGGCTTCCTTCCTGATGTCCTGGAGAGAGACTAGGACGCCATGGAGCCCTGGCTTCAAACTGCAGGAAGGGAAGGCGATTCCACCTGAAGATGAGGAAGAACTTCCTGACTGTGTGTGTGAGAGAGAGAGCTGTTCGTTCAGCAGTGGAATTCTCTCTCTCTCTCTCTCTCTCTCTCTCTCTGCCCCAGAAGCGGCTGAGGGGAAAAGGAAAGGGCCTGAGGCCAGGAATTGTGGGAGTTGGAGTCCAAAACATCAGGAAGGTCAAAGTTAGCCCAAGCCTACTCTAAATTCTTTTCCAGAGAAGGTTAAACACCTTACGTAACTACAACTCCCCGGATTCCATATCACAGAGCTCTGGCAGCTAAAGTGGTGTCAAACTGCTTTCCTTCTACAGTGCAGATGCACTTTGGCTTCCCATTTCCAGGCTGAAGGCTAGTTAGTTCCATTCATGGCAATACCTGATGTGGCCTTCTTATATAATCAAAGCATTTGGAGAGCTCTGAGAGGTTTTCCAAACAACAAACACACCGAAACCCAGAGCTTTGTCATTAGCAGCACTAATAATGCTTCATTAGTTAATGAAAGGCCTTGAAGCAGTAGTCGGAGGAATGAGGAAGTGGGGATGTGTCATGTCCACTGGTGGATGTACTCATCAGGAAAGCAAGCATCCCTTTTGGAAACCCTGGGGAGACTGGTGCTCTCCCCATTCAGCACATTTTAACCACGTAATGGGGCACAGTTTGACTATCCCCCTAGAAAAGGACTTCTAGTGATGCAGCCTCGAATTGTATTGGCCTTTTAAGCTGCTGCATCACATTGTTGGCTCACGATTAGACTGTGATGGGATGGCCATCTGTCGGGAGCGGTTGGTTTGTGTCTTCCTTTATGACAGAGTGGGACTGGACTGAATGGTCTTTGAGGTTTCTTCCAACTCTAGGATTCTGTGATTCTGTGTGGGCATCTCTATGATGCACATAGGGGAATGGGAACAGAGTCACCAAGAGTCTTATATATGTACTGCTCTCGAGCCAAG